GGCTCTCGTGGTATTCTCCTCTTATTCAGTAGGACCCGGGTTCGAAACCTGACAGCTACAGAAACATGTATTCTCTAAAATTGTCTCCTTTCACTTCCTTTCCTGTTCTGTCGTCTGCTTTCGTCTCCACTTTCTGCCCCACCCCGCATCCCCCTTTGCCCCCTCCTCTGAGCTCCCGACTCTTTATACGGCTACTCCTTGGCTCCTTCTTACAGCTGTCTTTCAGCCACACCCCTGATCTTAGTGTAGGTAAGATCTAACACTTAGCCTTCTCGGATAAGAGCGAAAATTCTCGGAGGTCCCGTGTGGGAGTTAATAATCCCTTAGTGGTCCAAAATCGATAAGAGTGGGCTTTGGCCGCCTCCCAGGGAACATTCAAAATATTAGTTCCTGCTAAACTAAAAGCGTTTAATGTGTGCCGCGCGCTCATATGACCTTATGCAGTTGCGAGCGCCGTGAAACACTTAACAAAAAAAACTTATTTGGAACGGGAACGAAACAAACTGGGAACAGTACCTGATCGAAGCTGACAATGACATCCTTGGTACAAGCATTGATGTAGTAAGCTGGTCTGCTGATGATATCTGAGCTGACATACAAGAATTCCACACGGTAGGCCAGAGAGCCGACGTGAGTTTCAGAATCGACCCAGACCACTCGGCGACCGTCTTTATTATCAATGTTCCTGTTGTAGGAAGGTACTTGTTGTTGATGGTGATGATGAGGATGATGATGATGATGATGGTGATACTGATGATGATGAGGAGGAGGAGGAGGAAGAGGAGGAGGTGGAGGAGGAGGAGGAGGAGGATACTTATGTGATACTTTGTTTCCATGGTGTTAGTCATGTTGGTTTTTATAAAATCCCGTTCCTGAAGAAGAACATTAGGGCGAAATATGTATAATATCATAAAACTTCAAATACTCAAGGATCCACCAACTTTTTGTTTCTGATGATGATAATGATGATGATGATGATGATGATGATGATGATGATGATGATGATGATGATGATGAATTACCCCAGCTTCAATTCCTAAGTGGGGAAATTGTTTTTATTGCTTTTCTCCACCTGTTGCTTGAATGTTGTTTCCCCACTCAGTCCGCGGTGGCCCCCGACAGACAGGATCGAAGCAGCCCGCCTCCTAAATGATCTAAACTGTGCTGACTGAGTTTGCGTTTGAATAAAGAGAAGGGCGTCGACCAGTTGCGCACTCCAACAGTTTGAAAAATGAGTGAATATTTGCTTGACCTCTCCAACAGTTTGCAAAATGAGTGAATATTTGCTTGACTTCTCCAACAGTTTACAAAATGGGTGAATATTTGCTTTAGACTCCTCCAACAGTTTGCTAAATAGTAAAAATATATGTGTAAAAATTCTCCAACAGTTTGCTAAATAGTAAATATATTTATACGTAAGATTTCTCCAACAGTTTGCAAAATGAGAGATTATAATATGCGTAAGACTTCTGAAACAGTTTGCTAAATGAGTAGATAATATATGATTAAGACTTCTCCAACAGTATGCTAGAATTAAATAGTAAATATTTATTATATGCGTAAAACTCCTCGCTGTCACACTCCCAGCCTGTCGCACGCGACGAGACCCTTGATTGCTACATGGACCGATCGCAGGCGATGGTCGCATGCGACTAGACATCGCCTCGCGTGTAAAAGACAGTTTCTTTATAATCTTAATTGATTGATTTAGAGAACAAATTAGAGAATATAATTAACGTAAGACTTCCCAAACAGTTTGCAAAACGAGTAAATATATATACGTAAGACTAATGCTGAAGATAAAGAAGAAAGATGCTTCATTAAAAAATGGTTTAAAACTTTGCATTGGCTTCCAGTTGATTAAAGAATCCAGTAGATCTATACAGTTTTTACCATCTGCTATAAATGTCTTAAAGATAAAGCCACATCATATCTGTCTGAGCTTTTAGCACTGTCTGTTCTATCTCGTCAGTTACGGTCATCCATAGATGCAACAAAATTCAGAGCCCCTAGAATGAAATTTCCTTCTTTTTTTTTTTTTGGCCCCAAAATCGGGAACACCTTGGCCCAGGATCTCAGAGAAATAACAAATTTTGATGAGTTTAAGCGATTGCAGGAGAACAATTTGTTGAATTCTTAGTTATAGTGAGCTAGTAAGTGCTGATTATTATGTTTTGTTGTTGCTGTCCTTTCGTGTGTATAATTAATGCAAGATTGTGAAAGTTCTTCTTTATGTAGTTGAACTGGTTTTTCTTGTTTCTGTGAATTATTTTCTCTTGTGGGAATGATCATGTGATTGGTGTAAAGCACTCTGAGCTTATACTAGTATGGGATAGAGCGCTATATAAATGCATTCTATTATTATTACTACTATTACGACTCATTCAACAGTTTGCTAAATGAGTAAATACATATGTAGGAATTCTCCAACAGTTTGCTAAATAGTAAATATATGCGTTACACTTCTCCAACAGTTTGCTGAAGGAGTATGCGTTAGACTTCCCCAAATCTATTTTACAAACGAACTCTTCGTATAGATCGGCGTCTGTGGTGTAGCAGTAAGACGCTTTGCCGTTGCACACTGAAGACGTGAGTTAGATTCCCATGTCGGGGGATGTGTTTTGAGTACCACCATCTGCCTGCTGGTATCTTGTGTCTCTCTCAGCCAAGGCTGGCTCTGACACGCAGGGTCGAAGTAACCTACCTCCTAAATGATACTGTGTGCTTTTGCTTTTTCATCCTGTTGCCGTTAATTAAGCGTCGAGGGGAAGCGAAGATGCAGTTTTCTATGGTAGGCCAACTCTGCAGCTCTTTCAGTTGAAATGTTATCATTTCTAAGGGTTCGTACTCGTCATCCTAAACGACCCAAATTGTGTTTATGGGAGTGCAAAACAATTACATTTCTTGTTGTTTAATTTTTTTCGTTTGTTCGTTTGTTTGGTTGCTAGTATTTGCTTGTTTGCTTGTTTGTACTGGTTTGTTGTTTTTTGTTTAGATTTGTTTATGGATTTTTTTTCTTGTTTGTTTGATTGTTTTGTTGTTTTGCTGTTGTTGGGTTTGTGTGTTGTTGTTTTTGTTGTGTTTTTTGGGGAGGAGGAGTGTTTGTTGTTCTTGGGGGGGAGGGTTTTTTGGGGGAGGGGAGGGGAGGGGGGTGTGATGAATATGTCTACGTACGGATCATTGACGTCATAGTGCTCTCCAGTGATCGCAATCTCGAGCATCTCATCAATTGACCTCTGACACGCCTCAGGGTCGGGGATGTCCTTGACGAGTCCAGTGGCCACGCTCCCGTACATGTGGCCGGTGAGGTGACCCGTCTGGTCTGACTCAGCCTCCGCCGAGGCGCCGATCACTTCCAGGTCCCCGAATGTCTGCTTCAGGCGTCGGCGGCTGACTCCTTTGGGAGTCTCCACGATGTCATCGTTTGCGGCCCTGGAAAAAAAGAAGGTACAGCTTTAACTTTTCACTCCCCTGACAACAGTATTACTATTATTTGAGAGCTGCGCGGGACCTCCGTTAGTAGAGAGTTTTTTTGGTCTTTTGCTGTTGTTGGGTTTTGTTGTTTGTTAGTTGGTTGTTTTTTAAGGGGGGAGGTTGGAGGTGGTGATTGGTTTGTTGTTGTTTTTTTGTTTTTTTTTAATTTAGTAAGAGTTTTACGGCACGTGCAACACACTTAAGGTCATATAAGTGCCAGAAATTAGAAGTGTTACAATAGAGTAACAAACACAGACACGAAGGAGGAGAGATAAGGACCATAGATATTTGATAGGAAAGAAAGAATAAACCACACCAGAACACCCTTCCACCAACCACAGACCCCCGAGTTTAACGTCCATCTCCGAAAGGACTGAGCCAAATAGGGAATTCCTGTAAAGTGCCTCTCCCAATGACACAACGTCAGACCGATGTATCGCTCAGCTCATTAGGAAAAGTTCAAAAAGTTTTTTGTTGGGGGTTTTTTGGGTGGGGGGGGGGTGGTTAGTATTTTACACAAACACACAGAGACATAAACACACGCACAGACACACTTACACATACACACACACAAACACACACTCACAAACACACACACAAACACACGCACAAACAGTACAAATACACACAAATACACAAACACATACACAAAGACACACACACAAACAAACAAACAAACAAACACACGCACACAAATACATATGCACACACGCACACACAAAAAACCTTGAAAAATCTAGGCTCAGGTGGTAACCTACCTGAAGCTAGAGAACACTCCCAGGTGTGCATCGCCTGCGAGGCTGGCAAAACTGACCGCTGCCCTTTTGTCCCTGCTGGCCAATGCCTCTCGCTTCACACGGACCATCTTGGCAGCTTCAATAGCTACCAGGGTAGCCAGGGCCGCTGAAGAATGGAGGAAACGAAACTCAATTTTTTTTTTCAGAGAAATTATCATTTTTGACGAAATTTGATTGTAGTAGTAGTAGTAGTAGTAGTAGTAGTAGTAGTAGTAGTAGTAGTAGTAGTTGTTGTTGGTATTGTTGTTGTTGTTGTTGTTGTGTGAGTGTGTGTGTGTGGTAGCCTATCCGTTCGAAATGTTCGGAGCCCCGAAGAGTGTGCTCTTCGCCAGGGCTACCGCCTCCCTTGGGTAGCGGGTGAGGCAGTCCAACCTCCCTGAATCCCCCACGAAGAGATGCCACCGCCGGGCCTCCGTGGCGGGGCTCCTCGCTGCACAATGGACATATTGGGTCCGATGTTTTGTCTATTTGTTGTTGTTGTTGTAGTAGTAGTAGTAGTAGTAGTAGTAGTAGTAGTAGTAGTAGTAGTAGTAGTAGTAGTAGTAGTAGTAGTAGTAGTAGTAGTAGTAGTAGTATAAATTACGATTATTACTGGTATTGTTATTATTATTATTATATTATTATTATTTTATTATTATTATTATTATTATTATTATCATTATCAACCCAGATAAAGTTGTTATTTTCATTATTATTACTATTATTATTATTATCATCATCATCATCTCCATTATCACTATCGCTATCATTACCATTATTATCAATGTTACTATTATCATTATCATTCTCATTACTATTATTATTAATAATGATGTTATTATCGTTATTATTATCATCATTATCATTATTATTATCGTTATTATTATGATGATTATTATTATTTTATCATCATCATCATCATCATTTTAAAATGTTTTAAAAATAAAAACTTACCTTATTCACCCTGCCAGGCCTTACTTTGTCATTAGATCTAACCCCCCCCCCCCCCCCCAATAATACAAAGTAGAAAGTTCGCCAATAAATACACAGTGGGTCAAGGTAGGAAGAATATGGGAAATCAGACTACTCACCAGCAACAAAAATTGGAAACTTCATGATCGAAAGACCGTGTTTGTCCAGAGACCTGTGGAGAAAGAACTGTTTTAGAAGATACTGCAAAACAAAACAAAATTTTTTTTAGCCCAAAACAAAAGAAAACAAAAAATAAACAAAACACTATGTACTAGTCTGATACAATGTCGTCACGGCTGAGTGTAATAATAATAATAATAATAATAATAATAATAATAATAATAATAATAATAATAATAATAATAATAATAATAATAATAATAATAATAATAATAATAATAATAATAATAATAATAATAATAATAATAATAATAATATGGCAAGGAAAGGGGAGGGGGTGTTGGCCAAGTTGGCATCATAGTAGGATATGGTGCGGGTAGCCCTGGTTTGAACATCCGAAAGATGCCTCCTTGAATTGGTCTCTTTTAAGCACAAGGGGGCTATCCCGAAAATGCTGTTTTGTAAAAATCGAAGGAAAAGTTTTTGCTCCTTGTTTACCTTCTTTAAAAGAAAAGGAGGGTTTTCTTTATAACCAAACAATAAATATACACACCAACCAAACCAAACTTCTCCTATAAGCATGGTGCAGCACAAGATTTCTGGAAACCCCCGGAATCTGGGTTACCCTGCTTGTCCTTAAAAGCGACCATATAATAATAAGGCAAAGAAAGGGGAGGGGGTGTTGGCCAAGTTGGCATCATAGTAGGATATGGTGCGGGTAGCCCTGGTTTGAACACCCGAAAGATGCCTCCTTGAATTGGTCTCTTTTAAGCACAAGGAGGCTATCCCGAAAAATGCTGTTTTGAGAAAATCTAAGGTAAAGTTTTTGCCCTTTGTTCACTTTCTTTAAAAGATAAGGAGAGTTTTCTTTATAACCAAACAATAAATATACGCACCAACTAAACCAAACTTCTCCTATGGGTAGGGCAATGCCCACTTTTTGTGTGGGTCAAGATTTCTGGAAACTTCTGAAATCTGGGTTAGCCCGCTTATCTTTAAAAGCGACCATATATGGCAAGGAAAGGGGAGGGGGCGTTGGCCATGTTGGCATCATAGTAGGATATGACGCGGGTAGCACTGGTTCGAACACACGAAAGATGCCTCCTTGAACTTACGTTGTTTGGGGAGTTTTCTTCACCCACTCGACTTGGCCCTTTATATCGGGGATGGAAGTAAACATCGGAAACCCGAATAAATAATGTAACAGAGTTAAAATAGGCTTACACAAATTATTTATAGGCTACAATTAGGCTACATATTGTATGCGGGTGGTTGACGGGTGCTCCGGTGTTGTTTGCTCCTCCTTTCCTATCAAACATCTATCGTCATTGTCTCTCCTTCTTTTTTGTTACTCTTCGGTACTTAAATGACCTAATTGTGTTACAAGTGCCTAAAAACGCTTCCCAAAACAAAACATGGTTTATGTTGTTTTCATGCGACACCCACATTGGCTGGTAATAATATTGATTTTAGAACACTTTCTTCATTTGACGGTACAGGTACAGAATGACACCCCCCTCCCCCCTTCTTTTTGTTTTACACATATACAAACAAACACACGCACACACACACACACACACACACACACACACACACACACACACACACACACATACATACAGACATACACACAATATTTTCGCATACATCGATGATCACAGCCAGCTGTAATTCTTGTTCCCCTACGACATAGCTCCAGCTCCACTGTGACCCTACGATGACCAAAAATCTGCGCACCAAGTCAAGCACATCGAAAATAGGTAAGTGAGGAGTGAGTTGGAGTTATAACTTGTTCTCTTCCGATGACAGTGGTTAAATTACGAGAAAATGAAATCTCTCTCTCGCTGTTTAATCTTCTCAGATCTGTACGTGCGAGTCTAAAAGTTGGATGACCAGCAGAATCTAAAAGGTCATTTAAAAAGTCACTGCAAACTAAGGTTCCGACATTTCTTCTTTGAGTAAAAGAATAATAGGGGATTTACAGTATACACCTAAAACATTTAAAAGTTGACATATTTTCCTCAATAACACACTTTAACTTACGCTATGTCTCCTTATGCGCGACGCGACGTTTAGTCGCTCGCGACAGTCGCTAGTGATGAGTCGCAAGATGTGCATCTTTATGCGTGACCACATGGCGCCAAAATTTTAAGTCGCGTGCGACTAAAGTGACCAAACTGTCTCCTTATGATCGACTGGCAATTCACAGACGAGAAACAGTAGCAAATGCTAATGCCTTGATGGACCAGGAAGTACAAAGTCCGTCAGAGGGGAGTTCTACGAATTGCTGACATTTTTTATTCCGTATATGGCAAATTCTGTGTAACTCCTCCTCCTCCTCCTCCTCCTCCTCCTCCTCCTCCTCCTCCTCCTCCTGTTGTCCGTTAAACAAACAAAACAACACAATTAGATTCACAAAACTTGCATTGGGTCAAACTGAAGATGAACATCCTACACACACACACACACACACACACACACACACACACACACACACACACACACACACACACACACATACACACACACACACGCACACACATACACACACGCGCGCGCGCGCGCGCGCACACCACCACCACTACCACACACGGCGTGTCGGCTGGCACTCCTCAGCTAAGTATTTTGACCAATGGTGATGCTCTAAACCTGCCACACCCCCAGCATGTTGCACGCGACGAGACCCTCGATTGCTATGTGGACCGATCGCGGGCGATGGTCGCGTGCGACTATAGTGCGGTCAAAAATTCGTGGTCGACTTATTTTCAAATATCTTCTCAACTATCGAACAAACGTTCTCCAATTTTTGCACTATAACTTGTATCATTTTGTCTTAACAGATCAACATTTTTGTAAAACCTGCAAGCTATATTCTAGAAAATCCCTTAATAAATACAAATAAAAAGTCCAAGTGAGTGGTTTCTACATATTTTTACATGTTTACAGCTGGGGCAATGTTGCTTTCAATAGCAAGTCCGTCTGGTTTTTCTAATCGGGACATTATGTTTATTGAACGCATGTTTTGAGAGCCATTAGTGCAAAAATGTGTTCACTATAACAATAATTTCTTGTAACAAGTTTTGAAAGTTTTAATTGTCATCGATGAGTTGTGACGTAGGCCATAATATGCGTAATCAAAATGTGTGTGAGAAGCGGGAAGTGCTGTGAACAATACCATTTTACGTGTGACAGAGATTTCAAGCATTTTATATAAATTAGGAAAAAAAGTTTGTTTAATCTAGCCCCAATTGTTCTGGGAAAATATGATTTAGTTAAGACAATTTGATACAAACTGCTATACAAAGTATGGATGACACTGATTCACCCGTTAAAGAGATATTTGAGGATAAGTTGTACCACGAATTTGTTACCGCACTATAGACGTCGCCTCGCGTGTAAGGAGACAGTTTCTTTATTATAATCGTAATTGATTGATTTTAGAACATCAAGAGCCACAAGCGACGCGACGTCGCGTCGCGCATAAGAAGACAATCTCTTAGAAACATGATTCAAGAGACAGGGTGAGTAATTTTCGAGACCACGCGACCACGGGAAGCACCCGGAGACGTCTAGACAGCAGCATCTGTGGGATGAATTCGACAAACTTACACTGAAGAAATGAGGGGGCAGGGTGTTGTCGCTATCTCAAAATGAGCAATTCGCGGGCAAAATTACTGAAAGTCGTTTATTTTAGTGATCCTGTGCATGCGTCCTCAGAGCGGTTTTTAAAATTGGACCTAAAGAGAAAAACTTTTTTGTTACTGGGTCAAAGGTTTTAGAAAAATTATTTTTGATTGGTCGGTAGCCCGCTGAAGTGTCGTATACAGTTTCGTGGGCATAGGCAAATTAATAAGTGAAATAGAATTTATTTTTACGCTGCTCAGACAAAAGTGAACGTGCTTTAACTTTACTTTCACCTGCATGACTTTAAGAAAGCTATACGTTTGGATATAATAAGCATCCCATGTTTATTAGAGTCGAGTCTGTGAGGACGCGCATTCTGGCAATAGGACAACGCTTGCAGACGCAATGTTTATAGTTGCTTGTTTTTGGTTAAGTATGACTACGTTATTCGCACAGACTTTTCGAATGTTTGTATTATATTTGACACTTACAAAAACAGGCAACAAAATGCGTACTATGAAAAATACAAATTGGTCTTTCTGATTTGTGTATGTTTGTTCCGGTGTGGAACGACATGGCCTTTGGTCTGCTGTCGCACATAGTATGTCCGCTACGTCTATGAAGAGTTAAATTTGTTGTACTGAAAGTAGGTAGTGAGGATATCTTTAAAGGTAGATGTCAAGAGTTTAAAAAGTGGCAAGATGAGAGAGGAAGGGCACCAGGAGATGAAAGAGGGTGTGAAGAAGAGAGAGGAGAAGGACGAGGAGAGAGAGGAAAGAAAACCTGAAGTTGCCCCGACCAACAAGCGGCTCCTAGAAGTTAAAGTATAGACTTACTGGTAAAATCGTAACGCCAGGTAATTAACTTTGAATTTGTTGCAAAAGATACCCATCTATCTTGAATAGAAATCGAGATTTTTGCGATTGAAGGAAGTGAGGGTCGCCTAGTGTTGGAAGTAAAGTTAGTGAGAAAATGCCCATCAAAGTTTGGTGACTTCCAAAGCTGTAGTATCCTTGAAAACTGCACATTTATATCTTATTGCTTTTGCTCAACGATTTCCCGGTAAAATCCACACAGGAGTGTGTTTTAAATGGACATAGTAGGCGTTGAGCCCAAAACAACAACCAAAAAAAGGACAAAAATTGCTCAACGGGAGAAAAATGTTGGTTTCTTCAATTTCATTATTTTGACGAGCACCTGATATCACCACGATGCCACACAAATGTAAGCGTGTCTTACCTTATTGAATGCCAACCTGAGGTCTGGACAGTATTGCATGCATCGACGTTTATATACCTACAATCGTATCCAAAATTGGCGACATATTTGAATATGCACCGCACCTTTTCTAATCTCACCGGATCTGGGATAATGAGTGACCATGTCTTAATGGCATCCAGCCATCTTTGTTCTGAATGTC